GCGCTGGCCAGGCGCGGGGACCGCCAGAGCCCCACCGCCGCCAAGAAGCCCGAGGGCGGTGACCCCGCCCGCCGCCGCTGCTTCGTCCTCCATCTCCTCATCCTTGCCGTTCCTTCTGCATCCCCCTACTCCTTCCCTCCTCCCCTCCTCCTCCTCCTCCTCCTCCTCCTCTCTCCTCTCCTCTCCCTGCTCCTCCTCCTCCTCTTCCTCCTCTCCTCCTCGTCCTCCCTCTCCTCCTCTTGGGCCACTTGAACTTGCACGGGGAGCGGACGTCCGAGCGCTGGCGAGCTGTGCAGCCCTCCATCCTTGCGTTCCTTCTGCCTCCTCCTCCTCCTCCTTCCTCCTCCTCCTCCTCCTCCTCGTCCTCCTCCTCCTCCTCCTCCTCCTCCTCCTCCCTCACTCATCCTCCTCCTCCTCTTCCTCCTCCTCCGCTTCCTCCTCCTCCCCCTCCTCCGCCTGCGCCGCCAGATCCTGGAGACCGGTGGAGGGGAGTGGTTTGTCGCCTCCCGTGCGCGCATCCTGCCCCAAGACGACCCCTCGGTCGTTGGGAGGAGGAGAAGGATGGGAAGGACGAGGTCGAGGTAAGGTTGCGGAGCCCTGGGGGAAGAGCATGCGGGGGAGGGGGGGAATGATGAGGAGGATGATCAGGAGGATTAGGATGATGAGGAGGATGCGAAGGGGGAAGAGCATGCGGGGGAGTGGGGGGATGATGAGGAGGATGATCAGGAGGATAAGGATGATGAGGAGGATGCGAAGGAGGGGAATGAGGAGGACAGAAAGGGTGATCTGGAGGAGGAAGAGCAGGAGGAGCAGGAGGAGGAGGACGCCGTAAAACAGTAGAGGGAGGATATGGGAGAGCATGCGGAGGAGGAAGAGGAGGGGGAGTTTGGGCAGAAGGAGGTCGAGAAGGACAATGAGCCGGTGGAGGACGATGAAGACGAGGCGGAGGAACAGGAAACGGAGGGTGAGGAGCAGGGGGCGAAGGGATTGTTCGTTTTGGTCTCTTCGGAGCGCTTTCGGGGGCCTCCGGTGGACAGTTTGGGGGGCGTTTTGGGGGACTCTCGGGGGGCCTCTTGGGGGCCTCTTGGGGGCCTCTTGGGGGGCTTCTTGGGGGCGTCTTGGAGACCGCCTCCTGGGAGGTTTCCAGGGGCGAGGGCCCGAGGAGTCCGTTCGGGTCCCCTCCTGGGGGGCACCCTCTGGGGGCCGTCTGGGGAGCCTCTTCGCCTGTCTCGGAGGCGTCTCGGGCCGTATTGGTGCCCTCGTGGGCCATGCTGGGAACCTCCGGGGGGCTTTGGGCCGTCTTGGTGCGATCTTGGGGGCCTCTTGGAGCGTCGGGGAGCGAAGGAGACGAGAACGCACAAGTGATGTTGCATCTCGGGGCCTTCGTGTGGGTGTTCCTGGAGGCCTCTTGGGGCGTCTTGCCAGCCTCATGGGCCGTCTGAGGCCGTCAAGGCGTCTTGGACAGATCGCTCGGCGATTCGGAGCCTTCTTGAACCGTCTTGGGGGCCTCTTCGGGCACTCTTCGCCCGTCCTACGGCTTTTTGGGGACCAGGGACCCCCCGTGAGGGAGGTGCATCTGGGTAGCGACCCCCCCGGACCCACCCCGTGGGAGTCTTATTGCCCCCAGGACCCCCCCCCACCGGGGGAGGTACGACGGGGGAGGGTCGGAAGCCTTGAGACGGGGGTCAATGCAAACGGGGGTCAGCCAGAGCGCCCGATCTTGCAGGATCCTGCAGGGCCAGGGTCGCATTGACCCAGGTTTGAGAGCAGGATCCTGAGGATCTTGCAGGATCCTTCGCATTGACCCAGGTTTGGGTGCGGGATCTTTCAGGATCTTGCAGGATTTTGCAAGGCCTGACCGACCTGGGTCTGGATTGACCCGGGTCAGAAGCGAGGGATCAAAGGGAGGGGGCTTCCTTTCATTTGAATTACGACGTTACTCAATTTCGCTTTGGCTGGCGCGCTTAGGGAGGGGGGCCCAGGAGAGGGGGGTGAGCGGCGACGGGCCCAGGGAAATGGGGGCCGCAGGGAAAGTGGCGGGCAGAGACTCGGGGTTGGACAGACCTCCTACCTTGACACGTCGATTAAGGAATTGGCCGTTTTCGGTTCGCGAGGGGGCGCCGCAGCCGTCATTTTTGCGGGCCCAGGTCCGTCGGTGTCGGTCCCAGGCGCTTTTCACTAAGGGGAGGTTTACGAAAGGAGGTGGAGGACGAGTTGGAGGAGAGGAGGAGGAGGAGGAGGAGGAGGAGGAGGAGGAGGATCATTCGGAATGTGCGGTACACCAAAAATGGAGGAGGAGGAGGAGCTAGGAGGAGGAGGAGGAGGAGGAGGAGGAGGAGGAGGAGGAGGAGGAGGAGGAGGAGGAGAGGGAGGAGAAGAGAAAAGAGCCGGGAGGCTGTGCTGCTTCCTCATCGTTTCCTTTCCTTGCCACCGCCGAGAGACGACGACTTACGAATGACAGGCAGGACGACTCGAACGGACAAGACCCTCACGCACGTCGATGGGGTCGGCGGCTCTGCTCCACGCCGCGAGGCCTGCTCCGGCAGTGCCTCTCGGGCCGATCGCGGTGAGCCGGCCACGGCAGCTCGTGGCAGGAGCCACCGGGCACTAAGTCAAAACAGATGCCAATCCCAAAAACGCGAGGGCCAAGACAAGATGCAGGCTCCTCGACTTCGGGGAGGGAGCTTTTGGGGTAGGGTTTTACCAGGGCGACGACGACGAACGCAAAACATACCCCGAAATCTTTGGTCGATCTTCGAATCCTCGGTGACTCCGCGATTTTGGGATTGGGGATGTGTTTTTTCGTGGTCACACTGGGCAAGGGAGGAAAAGCCACCCGGACCCGACAGTTGGCGTTTACCAAACGGCCCTGGGCGCCTTCCACGGGTGCGTCTGCTCCACGGCTTCGCGTGCCAGGATGACCAGCACGGGGGGGATGTTCTGCCCTCTTGTGGAGGGAGGAGATAGGGGGGAGGAAGGGGAGCGAGGAAAGGCAACAGGAAAACGAGGAGGAGGACGAGCACGTCTGCCCCCAACCGCCCACGCTCGACGACCACCATGACGAAGACGACGACGACGACGGCGGCGGCGACGGCGACGGCGGCGGCGGCGGCGACGGCGACGGCGACGGCGACGGCGACGTTGACGACGACGACCACGACGACAACCACGACGACGACGACGTTGACGACGACGACGACGACGACGACGACGACGACGACGACGACGACGACGACGACGACGACGAACACGACGAACGACGACGACCGGGCCGCCCGCGAGCCCGCCGCAGGTGGCGCCGGCGGCGGGGGCGCCGCCGCGGGCGGCGCCCGCAAGCCGCCGGAGGCGACCCCGGACGCGCAGCTCAGCTCGGTGCTCGAGGGCCTTGGCGCGGAGGGCCTGCGCAGGCCGGCTGCGCCCGCGAGGGCCTCGAGGGCGTCGAAGCATTCGAGGGCTCCCGAGGTCCCCCTGAAGGGCCCCTGAGGGGCCTCGAGAGCCTCGAAGGGTTCGAGGGCTCCGGAGGACTTCGAGGACCGATGTCTTCGGGTGGATTGAGGAAGAGGAGGAGGAGGAGGAGGAGGAGGAGGAGAGGAGGGAGGAGGAGGAGGAGGAGGAGGAGGAGGAGGAGCGGAGGAGGAGGAGGAGGAGGAGGAGGAGGAGGAGGAAAGGGAGGAGGAAGGAGGAGGAGGAGGAGGAGGAGGAGGAGGAGGAGGAGGAGGACAGGAAAGGAAGGAGGAGGAAAGGGAGGAGGAGGAGGAGGAGGGGGAGGAGGAGGAGGAGGAGGAGGAGGAGGAGGAGGAGAGTGGAGGAGGAGGAGGAGGAGGAGGAGGAGGAGGAGGAGGAGGAGGAGGAGAGCGGAGGAGGAGGAGGAGGCAGGAGGAGGAGGAGGAGGAGGAGGACACGGCGGATGACGACGACGACGACGACGACGACGACGACGACGACGACGACGACGACGACGACGACGACGACGGCGGTGGGAGAGGAACTCGAGGCTGTTCAGGATCAGGGAGTTTCGAGGTTCTTGGGACTGCTTCTGGCCCTCCTTGTGCCGCGGGCCCCCGAAGGAGGGGGAGGAGGAGGAGGAGGAGGAGGAGAAGGGATGAGATGTCGATCACGACGATGACCACGACGACCACGACGACCACGACGACCACGACGACGACCACGACCACGACGCCCACGACGACACTCACGACCAAGACAACCACGACCACGACGACGATCACGACCACGACCACGACCACAGCGACGACCAAGACGACGACGACCACGACGACGACGACGACCATGACGACAACGACGACGACCACGACGACGATCACGACGACGACCAAGCGAAGACGACGACGACGACGTCGACGACAACGACGACGACGTCGACTGCGGCGGCGGCGGCCGCGGCGGCGGCGGCGGCGGCGGTGGCCGGGTCGAGGTCGAGGACCAGGATCGGGTGTTCCTCAAGCTGATTGGGGTGAACATCATGATCATATTCGTCATCTTTCTTCTCGCATCCTCAGGTGCAGAATGCAGATTCTGCAGCCGTACTACAGCATCCTGGCCGGCTGGTGCGCCTTCTAGCTCCGGATCGTGTGGACCGAGGCCAGAGTCAGCCTGGTTCACGTGCAGGAGGAGCAGCGAGGACCAGGATCCGGGGCCTCCTGGAGGCCCTCGGAGCCGTTGGGCCAGCCAGCAGCTGCGCAGGCGGGCAGGCAGCAGCCGCCCTCGGAGCCGACAGTCCACGGGCTGCGCCGCGTCGGCGGGGTTGCCCCACCGCGAGAGCGCCGTCGGGCCGTCCCAGGGGCCGCCGCTCGAGGCCCAGGCGCTGGCCCGGGAGCCGGCTGGAGGGGCACGCGCGACGGCGACGGCGACGGCGACGGCGACGGCGATGACGACGGCGACGACGACGACGACGAGAACGGCGACGACGACGACGACGACTGTGGCCATGCGCAGCGTATCGCGAGGGCCGCCGCCGCGACACGCTAAGCAAAATGGTCCTCACCGCGCAACAAGCTCTCGTCCCGCCTGCTGCGCCCCTCTGCCCTCCCTCTCCATTGACCATGCCTTGGGCCCCCTGGGGTGGGCATGGCCTTGGTTTCGGAGGCTGGTGGTGCACGAGAGACACATCTGAATATACAGTAGGCGCCTGTCCCTGGCTGCGTCGTGGTTGGCTTCGGCTCCCAACCGAGTGGCCAGGGCCGCTGAGATGCGTGGCCAGCATAGCATAGACTCTGGCCTTCAGGGCTCGATCTACACGGTGTTCTGGCGATTTCGTGGGTCGCCTCCGTTCTGCCTTCGTTCCCTGCAGCGACAGCGGAACGAGGAGGCAGCCAGGGACAACGAAGGCAAATCGGAAACGGGAAAGCACGGGGTCAGGCCGAGCCCTGCTGTCTCACAGGAGTCAAGAGAGGAAGAAACACCAGGACCCGACAATTGGCGGTTACTAGACGACCCTGGGCGTTTACTAAACAGCCCTGCTCTGATGGATTTCTTGTGTGGGCTGCGTGCGGCTTCGCTTGTCGGGGGCTGTGTTGGTTTTTTTTTTTTTTTATAGAGGTGGGGATTCCCTCGGATCTTGTGTTACGTACTACTGGTGTCCAGTTCGACCAGACCACGACTTGTATTTTCTGGTCCGCTTTGGCCTATGCTGTTGTCCGCGGATTGCTTCGGAGGGATACTTCGGGGCACACGCCGGACGAATCAGCCATTTCCTGCCCTCTCCCTCCTCCATCCTCTTCCTCCTACTCCTCCTCCATCATCTCCGTCGGCCTCCTCCCCCTTCCTCCTTCCTCCCCCTCCTCTTCCTTCATCCTCCTCCTCCTCCCTCCTCCTCCTCCTCCTCTTCCTCCTCCTCCCATCATAATCATCCTCCTCCTAATCCTCCTCTCGTACCTTCTCCTTTTCTCTCTTCTCTCCTCCCCTCCTCTCCTCCGCCTCCCTTCCTCCTCCTCCTCCTCCTCCTCCTCCTCCTCCTCCTCCTCAGCAGCCCTCCCGCCGCCCCGCCGCCCGGCCAGCATGCTCACCGGGGCCCTGGAGTCGCTGTACCAGGACGGGCCCCCCCCTGGTGCGCGCCGCGCGTCGGGGCGCTTCGGGGCGCGTGGGAGCCCCCCCCTGCGCGGCAGGCGCGCGGGGGGGGGGGGCGGCTCCCCGCACGTAGCCGGGGCGCGGAAGCAGGGGCCAGCTTTCGCAGGCAGGATCGCGTCGCAACAAAATAATCATCGGGGCGGGAGGTTTTTGGCCAATTTCGGCCTCGGGGGGCCCTCGCCGGGCCTCGGGAGCGCCAAGGAACGACGCAGGATGAAAAGGCGGCCCTGGGGAAAGGGTCTGGACTTCCAGGGACGCCGTCCTGGAATAATCAGGACGTCGCATGTTTGGGTTTCGACCGGACGTAAGTCGGACATGTGCCTCTACATGAGGAGTATTTAAAAATATCTCCGAAGTTGTCAAGGGACGATGTTTGATGATTGTTTTAACTCGTTCTGGGTTATGTTCTTGCGTTCCTTTGCAACTGTTCTTCCAAAGCCCGCCTGTAGGAGGATATGCCCGACTTCAAACTGGACGTAAGACCGACCTTTCGCCGGAGCGACCACTCGGGTCCCCCGTTCGCCAAAAATTACGTTGCATCTTCGTGGGACCTGGCCTGTCCACAAATTGGTGTTTTTTCTTGTGCCCGACGCGGGCTCGGTGCGGACTCGACGCGGATTTGGAGTGGAGTCGACGCGGATTCGACACGGATTCGGCATGGGTCCGACGAGTCCGACATGGATTCAACACCGACTCAACGCGGACAGGGCCGAGAGTGGACAAACAAGTTCCCCCGAGGATGAAGCAAGCATTCTTACCTTATGATGCTCCAGCTTATTTTAGCATTGATCACCAGAAAGAATTTCGAGCACCACGAAAGTACCGAACCTTTGGGTTTTCACGTGCCTGGCACTGGGAGGCGATACTGTTCCGGGTGCTCGAAATGACTTCTGGGATTTGGTCCTTAAGTACGATGAGAGAAACATAACTTTCACCAAGGGTCACTCTGGCGTGTCCTAAGAGGGTCTGCCACGCGCAGAGGAGGGTAGGGCGAGGGGGGAAGGCTTCTTGGAGGCACCCAGCTTCTTAGAAGGCGCGGGCCCTATCTATAGATATAGGGCTGGCGCCTTCTAAGAAGCAGCCTCCTGATAAACCGCCCCCCCCTGCCCCTACCCCCGTGTGCGCGCCGCGTGCTTGGGAGCCTCGGAGGGTCCCGAAATTGCTCGCGGCCTGGGGGGGGCTGCGTCGGATTTGGTCGAGAGCTGGACGAGAGGGCGAAGAGATCTGGCCGAAGGCTGGTCGAAGTCGCGTGTACGATGGGGCGCCGCGGAGGTCCACGGAGGCTCCCACGAAGGCTCACCCGGAGTCGGGCGTTGATAGAAGTACCCCCGGCCCGAGGTGCCCCTCAGATGGCCCAGAGGGCCTCGGGGGCTCCAAAATGAAACGAAAAGGGCCTCCAAGAGGGCCTCCAGGAAGGCCCGAAAAGGCCAAAATCATTGATTTACCATGGGTTTTGAAGAATTGTGGCAGTTGTTTTTGTTATGCCCTCCGACGGCCCGAGACGGCCCAAGGTGCCCCCAAGACGCGGCCCCAAGAGGCCCCCTTAAGACGGCCCCAGAGGCCTCCAAGACGCTCAAGATGGCCTCCAAGACTGTCCAAGAGCCCTCCAAGACTCTGGAGGGGAAAAAGCACACAGACACAATGAATCGTCGATTCCCAGGAAAATATCGGAAAATATGGGAAGTGGGGGGGAAGACAAACGCCCAGAACAGATGGGAAAAGATGGGGCATCCTTTTATTTGTGTATATTCATTTGTGTCTCCCAGGGCCCCTTCAAAGACGTCCTCCGAGGGGCACCTCGGGCCAGGCGCACTCCCGGCAGCACACCCGGCACAGGGCGGGGCCCCTGGGCTTCTGCGGGGCCGGCCGGGGCTCGAGGCGCCGAGGCGCGCCGCGGCCGGAGGAGCCCGCGCGCCCTGTTTCGGTTCCGCGCCGCCTCCGGTGGCGGTCAAGGCGGGCGTGTCCTCAGTCGGGCCTCGATCCTCGATCCTCCCCCCTCGATCCTCGACCCTTGAGGTCCTCGGTCCTCGATCCTCCCCCCTCCGTCCTCGGTCCTCGATCCTTCCCCCCCGATCCTCGATCCTTGGTCCCGAGGGAAGGCCCCGGGAGACAGGCCCCGCTCCCCTCCGGTAGCGCCAAGTCGGGCGTGTCCTGAGGCGGGCCTGTCCCCCTACAGGGGGACTATCGACGAAAAATTAAAAGTACCCCAAAAATAATCAAAAAAGAGTCCAAAAATAGTCTGGGGATCATTTTTGGGGGTACTTTTTTGACCTTTCTGGATTATTTGTGGGGTACTTCCTATCTTTCGTCGAAAATCCCCTTGTAGGGGGACAGGCCCGACTTGAGGCGTGTCTCTGTGCAGCTAGTAGAACATGTTATGGCGGGCGATTGCTTGACTACTGTTTGGCTCTGTGGGGAGTTATGTGGGGGGTATTATCAAAAGTTGTCCCGCCAGAGCCCCCTGGAGGAGGGAGGACACGCCCGACCGCACGGTAGCACGGTGATGGTACCCCATCCAGGCTGCTCCGCAAGCGGCGAGGGGCAAACGTTCGCCCATGGAGCAGAGGGGGCCTGAGGGAGTCGGGTCCTGGAGGTCGTCTTCTCTTCGTCAGTTTCGAGGCTCCCGGGGTCCTCCCCAGGCCCCCTCCCGGACCGTCAAGCAACGATTCAGGATGATCTCGAGGGAAGGCCCCTCGACCCTTGATCCTCGATCCTCGATCCTCCCCCCTCTGTCCTCGATCCTCGATCCTTCCCCCTCGATCCTCGATCCTTGGTCCCGAGGGAAGGCCCGGGGAGACAGGCCCCGCTCCCCATCGGGCCCCGCTTCAGCTCTCGCGCCAGCAGGCGTGCTCTGTTTCGGTGGCCCCCGTCGCGACGCCCGCGAGCCCGAGTCTTGCGGACGGCATAGGCTCGCCGGTCGCTGGAGGCCCGGAGGCGGCGGCAGCGGGGGAGAGGGACGGGGGACCACGGCCGACGGCGAGAGGCGGGGCAGAGGGAGGCAGCCTAGGCCTCCCAGATGGGGTCGGAGTAGATGGGGTCGGAGGATTGCGCCGCATCGCCGATGCATCGGCGATGTGGCTCGATGCGGAGCCCGATTTTCTCCACGCCGACGTCGCCGACGTCGGCGATGCATCGCCCGTGCATCGCCTATGCATCGGCGATGCTTCGCCGATGTATCGGCGATGCGGCGCGATCCTCCGACCCCATCCATTGCGACCCCATCTAGGAGGCCTCTGGAGGCGGGGCCGAGGCAGGAAGGACAGAGGGATTGCTGGGCCCATCTTCCACCACCACTACCACAGGTAGGAGAGGGAGGAGGAGGAGGAGGAGGAGGAGGAGAGGAGGAGGAGGAGGAGGAGGAGGATCTCCTTCTCCTCATCATCCTCTCATCATCCCTCAGAGGACGGGGAGCAGGGAGGATGAGGAGATCCTCTCCTCCTCATCCTCCTCCTCCTCCTCCTCCTCCTCCTCCTCCTCCTCCTCCCTCTCCTACATATGGTGGTGGAAGAGTTGCCCAGCCAAGATGGGCCAAGTCTGCAGCGCACGGAGCGGGAGGTCCGGAGGCCGGTCTCTGGCCTCGGGGCGACTAGCGGGCCTTGGTCGGACATGGCCAGGACCCCGGGCAAGTAAGGGGATCCCGTCGGTGATTGGGCCCCGAAGCCCAAAAAGTTGACACGGATCAGTAAACTTCAGTCGGGCCTGTCCCCCTACAGGGGGATTTTCGACGAAAAATAAGAGGTACCCCAAAGATAATCAAAACATTTTCCAAAAATAGTCTGGGGACTATTTTTAGCATGTTTTGACCTGGTCGGCTTATTTTGGGTTTTTTTTGGTTTTCGTCGAAAATCCCCCTGTAGGGGGACACGCATAAAAGTATGGGGAGCTGGTCGGTGATTGGGCCCCGAAGCCCGAAAAGTTGTCACGGGTCAGTAAGCCAAGTCTGCCGTATAGTTGGTGCTTCTTCGGGTGGCGGCAGTTCCGTGGAGTGGAGTGGGCCCAGGGAGGGTGCGTCCTTTTTGTGCACATCACCAAATCAGGTCCCACAACCCAGTCCCACTAGCGCCCGCTCTGGGGAAGGGGTCGAGAGGTCTAGGGCGACCTACGCGTCGAACAGATCGCAGCGCCAGACATCTGAGTTCATACCTCGGCTGCTCACTAAGCCAAGGGTGTTTGTGGTTCAGTCTGTTCGGCTGCGTGGCAGTCGGTTGAGTTCGGTAGGTTCGTTTCGGTCGGCTGGCGTGTCGTTGCCGTGTCGCTGCGCCCTTCTGCGCTGCTTGCGGCCTGTCGGTCGACTTCGATGTCGGCGTCCGCTCGGTCGGTGTTCGGCTGTGCTGTCGCTTTGGGCACCTTTTGTCGCACGGGGGGGAAAGTGCGCGGAGGGTGGTCTGGCGCACGTTCGGGCGGACCGAAGCAAGCTTGGAGCTGCAGGGGTGATGGGGCGTCGAGCAAAGTAAAGCTTTGCCTTGGAGCAACGTTAGGTAACCTCGCGTCGAGCATGCCTACTAACGTGATGTCATAGCCGCTGTAAGTCGAGTCTTTACATCATGTTGCTGCTACCATTGCTCTTGCGCAGCTGGTGTCTGCGATATTTTTGCTTATACATGAGGATCCAGAGCAGGGAACCGTCAGTGGAAAACGAATAAGAGTTGCAGCCTCCATTGTCTCCTCACCCCTTCGTATTGCTTTGAGGTGGCCATCTCAAGATGCAAGGCAGGCAGCGCTGGGGCTGGGTTTGGCCCGACCGCCCACTCCGCGCAGGACAGCGCGGTTTCTCTAGATCGGGGGCCCGTCGCCGATGCATCGGCGACGAGTCGCCGGTTCCAGGTCGATGCTTCCCCCCTGATCTCTCATCTCCTCCCTCTGATCTCTCATCTTCTGGGGTCCCCCCTCGTCGTTCCCCCTGCTTCTCCTCCCTCTCCCCCCGAGGCGCGGTCCCGGCACCGAGCGGGGCGGGGGAGAGCGCCCCGTGTCGGGCTCCCCCAGGACCGCATCAAGCCCATGGCGAGCTACGTCAAGGGCCGGCTGAAGGAAAGGTCTGCCGCGCACGCACGCCCTGGACGGGGAGGAGGCGGCGGGGGGGAGGAGGAGGAGGAGGAGGAGGAGGAGGAGGAGGAGGAGGAGGAGGAGGAGGAAGGGAGGAGGAGGAGGAGGAGGAGGAGGAGGAGGAGGAGGAGGAGGAGGAGGAGGAGGAGGAGGAGGAGGAGGAGGGGGGGGGGAGAGGGGAGAGGGAGGAGGAGGAGGAGGAAGAGGAGGAGGAGGAGGACGAGGAGGAGGAGGAGGAGGACGAGGACGAGGACGAGGAGGAGGACGGAGGAGGAGGCGGAGGAGGAGGCGGAGGAGGAGGCGGAGGAGGAGGCGGATGCGGAGGAGGAGGCGGAGGAGGAGGCGGAGGCGGCGGAGGAGGAGGAGGAGGAGGAGGAGGAGGAGGCAGGAGCAGGAGGAGGAGGAGGAGGGGGGTTAGTCCCGGAGGGGCACCCCCAACAGTGGGGTGTCGGGCCAAAGCGCCCCCTGGCAGAAACGGGGGCCGCTGAGCCTTCGGGGCACAAGCCCCCGCACCTGGGATGGCCCCCAAGGCGGGGTCCCCTTCCCAGGGGGCCCCCAGGTACACGCAGTCTCCCACGGGAGCCTGGCTTCCCAGCCATGTGTCCCCCGTGGGAGTCGTGTGCCAGGGGGTCGGTCCCTCGTCGCCGTCGTTGTCGTCTGTCGTGGCGGGCCCTTGGGGTGGGCGGTGTGGGTTCGGTGGTGGCCTGGCCCCTGCCCGTTCTGTCGGTGGCTGGGCGTTTCCGGCTGGGGCGTTTCCGGCCGGCATAACGTGGCGGGGGAGCTGGCGAGCCATTCCCATGCCGCCCGCTCGCGGGGGGGCCCGCGGCCCGGCCGCGGCGGCGCGGCGCGCGCGGCGCGCGTTGGCGTCGGCGGCCCCGCTTTTGGGACTCCCCGCTGCAGGTCTGAAAGAAAGAGGCTACTTCCCGCTGCAGGTCTGGAGGAGGAGGAGGAGGAGGAGGAGCCCACCTTCCGCCTCCGAGGCTACTTCCCCAGGAGCCCGCGCAGGTGTTCCTCTTTGCACCGGAGGGGGCACGCCCCCCTCGACAGACGAGCAGGCCCCGTGGGCCTGCCGCAGACGAGGCCCCCTGCGATGGAGGATCCGCCCGCCGTCCTTCCTCGCGTTTCCTCCGTCGCCCCTCTTGTCGCTCGTCTCCCCATCCCCCCCCCTCGCCTCTCGCCCTCGCTCGTCGCGCGTCCCTTTCTCCCCTCGCGCGTCCTCTCCCGTCCCCGGCTGCGCCGCGCAGAGAGAGGCTGCCGCCGCACGATTTCCACACCGTGGCGCCACTGGCGCCCGCCTGCAGCGCCCCCGCTGGCGCGCACCTCGCTGGTCTGGGTCCGTGCCCGATGCCGACGACGCGGGATGGGGCAGTTGGCCCAACAAGTAAATTCGAGGGTTTGTCGTGCGATGTAGTTCCGTCCTGACAACCCGCCGTTTATGCACGCGCAACGCGGTTTCAGCGTTCCTACCACTATTGCCCAGGAAGTGTCCAGCGAGAGAACCATTTAAAACAAAAAACGCCCTCCGTTTCAAACTGCCAGCGGAGGCCCCAATCTGAGACAGACAAAAAAACGTCAGCGACGCCAGCGTGATAACCCCATGGAACTGCTGGATATGTTTAAGACGAATGTGCGCGGCGCCAGGGCGAACAAAAACATGTTGTGAACGACGCGCCTTCAAGTGGTCCGTCCGCCTGCCTGCAGGAAGCTTGTAAGACGAGTGCGCACGGCGCGTAGGCGACAACCCCATGGGAAAGTTACGTGTGTTCCTTCATCCGTGTAACTGTTCGACGCGGACGTATCGAGAAAAACTCCCGACCCGCCCCGACGACAAATCTGGCAGTCAATGGGAAGGAGCTACCTACCGGGAAGAGGGATGGACGAGGATCAGGATGGAGGTTGAGGGATGGACAACGGAGGGTGTAGGGATGGACGAGAAGAGGCAGGGAAAAGGAGGAGCGGGCGGAGGATAATAGGATGGAAAAGGATGGGGTAGGAGGGGTGAGAGGGATGGGTGCGGTGGAGTAGGGGGGAAAGAATGATGGACGGGCGGGGAAGGGGGTTTGGGAGGAGGTACCAGACAGGAAGACGCGAAGAGAGGAAGAGTCCATTCCATTCCATTCCACCCCACGTGCCAACCGAGCCTTGGCCCATAGCTCCCGCAGTTGCGGCTAACGGTGGGGTCTGAAAGGCTGCGGAGAAGCCCGAAGCAGGCGCCGATTTTCACAAAGTACGCAAAGAGCCTGCCGCAGGTGCCGAATTTGCCTCAAAGCAACGTGGGTGGGTCGCAGGTGCGTCGCGAGTGAGTCGTACCGATTCGCGGGTGGGTCGTGAGTTGGTCGCTGGCGGGGGCGTCAACAACAAACAACAAACAGCAGAAATAAGCCTCACTGCGAAAGCCTTCTTCGGGTACATACCCAGGGATGGTGTCAGACCTTTCGGCCCCCTCATTCTGATCACCTCGGTCCATTGAGTGTGGAGCCAGCCCTGGAGAGAGATACAGAGAGAGAAAGAGAGAGAGAGAGAGAACAAAAAGAGAGAGAGAGAAAGAGAGAGAATAGAGAAAGACAGAGAGAGAGAGAGAACAAAAAAGCAATAACACATTTACAGTTATAAGAAGGAGATCGCAGTTGGGACACCAAGCGGAGCAGGTGCCCTCGCAAGGCCCAGCCATCGTGGTTTGGACGAATCGTGGTTTGGGCGAGGCCTGATTGGGGGGGCGCACGAGCGTGACCTAGGGGCAGTCCCCCTCCTCCTGCCCAGCCCTCTTTTCCTCATGTTTTGCTGGCCCGGCCTCGATTGCGTCGCACGGCAACACAAAGCAGCACACACATCGGCTAAGAATGGGCCCGACCCGAACCACGTGGATGCGTCGATGCGTGGAGCGCGGGGCGTGGCTTTCTTCATGCATGGCGTGCAGGAGTGCAGTGCGGACAGGGGGCTGCACCGCACCTGCGCAGAGGCGTGTCGAACACCCCGTGGTGGGGCACGACCCGCGCGATGGGTGCGCCGAGGTGGGCGGCCGCCCGCATGCATGACCATGCCCTCGGAGGCCGCAGCTGGATCTCCTGTGGGGCGCGGGATCCGCGTGAAATGGGTGCCGTGCCGAATGAACGCGCCCGCCGAGGCCGCAATGACTTGGGCCTCCCTGTGGGACACGATCCGTGGTTTCACCGAAGGCCCCAGCGGCTGCGTTCGCATGCGCCCACCACAGGGAGCTCCACCGAAGGCCCCAGTGGCTGCGTTCGCATGCGCCCACCGCACCGATGTCGGCACTCCCCTCGCACGTTTCGTGGCCCCACAGGGAGCTCCACCGAAGGCCCCAGTGGCTGCGTTCGCATGCGCCCACCGCACCGATGTCGGCACTCCCCTCGCACGTTTCGTGGCCCCACAGGGAGCTCCACCGAAGCATGCGCCCACCGCGCGGCTCAGGGGCCAGGAAACAGCCTGCAGCGATTCATGACGTGCCAGAATCCAGCCGTCACCAATTGTCGGCGTACCTCGAGTTCGAGGTAAGCCCTCGGCGTTGGAGGCGGCCAGGAGTCTGAACTGGCTGCGACCCCAGAAAATCCGCGAGGAGGGGGGATGAGGCCAAATCTCCTCGAAATCGAACTTAGGACCCGTCCTGGGGTGCGTCTGGCGCGCTTTTTCCCCCCCCCCGGATCCGTTTTTGAGGTCTCCGGGGCCCGACGACGGTGCCCGGAGTCGGAGGAGAGAGCAAACACATGCCCGAGACCAGTGGTTCGCCAAGGGCTCCCCCGAGGGCGCGAAGTTATTCGCGCTTCGCGGTCCTCGTTCCTTCTCCCCCTCCTCCTCGTCCTCCTATTCTCCCTTTGGGAGGGCGGCGCGAGAGCGCGAAGTTATTCGCGCTTCGCGCTTCGCGGAGCGCGAAGCGCGAAGTTGGGAGCCCTAGTGAAAGGAGGGGGCCCTTGAGGGCCCCAGAGGGGGCCTTGACCCATCGGTCGTTGAAAGTAGGTATCTTTGGATTCCCGGATTCCAATCTACTTTCAGCGCCTTCCTACTTCAAGAGTCGAGTGGCTTTCCCTTTTCCTTCCTCTTCAGGAGGCGGGCGGAAACCCAATCTATTTCCGACGCCTTCCTACTTTATGTTTCTACCTACTTCTTCGGACCGATGGGTAGGGCCCGAAGGCCGCACCTCCCCCACCCCCACTGATCGCCCCCATCAGCCCGCGCCCGAACCTCAGACCCTGAGCCCTCCGCAGGTCCAACCCGGAGCCGATCGTGAAGAGCTTCGTGGAGCTGTACAGCCAACACTCCGACCTGTTCCTGGTGCAGCAGCCGGCAGCAGGCGGCACCCCGGCGGCGGGCAACCCGGCCGCCAGAGGGGCGTTGAGGGCGACGCGACGACACCGACGACGACAACGACGGCGGCGGGTGCGGCGACGGCGACGACGACGACGACGACGACGACGACGACGACGTTGGCGACGACGAAGACGACGGTGGTTGCGACGATGACGACGACGAGGACGACGACGACGAGGACGACGACGACGAGGACGACGACGACGACGACGACGACGACGACGACGACGACGACGACGACGACGACGACGCAGCCCGTACCTTTCAAACCGTTTCTGACGGCTCTCGCCGCCGCAGCCAGACGCAGCTCGAACAACAAATTGACAGAGTTGACCACACTCCACGGAGACCAGGGTCTAATCTTGGGCGTGCTCTGCGGGGTCGGCACGAGGGGCCTTGAGTTAAGTCGGGCGTGTCCTTCCACAGGAGGAAAATTCAAAAATAGTGAAGGAATAGTCAGGGGACTATGTCTCGATACTAGTTTGCCCATGTTTGAGTATTTCGTAATTTTTATTTCTCGCCTGAGATCCCCCTGTAGCCTTGAGGTTCCTCACCGTTTTCTGCCCCTCGGGCCCCCACCCTGGCCCCTGGACCGTCAAGACAGGGCTTGGGATGAGAGGCTGGTCTTGGGCAGAGCCGGCGGGGTCGAGAAACTTCTTGCCCCGGGCTGCAGGGCGCCGTCCCCTCGCGCCGAGGAGAGGACACTCAGCATTCGAGGGGGTGCCGAGAGCGTGCTGGCCTGAGAGGAGGAGGAGGAGGAGGAGGAGGAGGAGGAGGAGGAGGGAGAAGGAGGAGGAGGAGAAGGAGGAGGACGAAGGAGGAGGAGAAGGAGAGAGGAGAAGGCTTGGGGAGCCGGGGGGAGGAGGGGGAGGCACGGGGGAGAACGGGGGGAGGAGGAGGAGGAGGAGGAGGAGCGAGGGGAGGAGGAGGAGGAGGAGGAGGAGGAGGAGGCGGCGGACGAGCGGAGGAGGCGCGGGGCGGAGGTGGCGGAGGAGGAGGAGGAGAGAGAGGAGGGGAGGGCGGGGAGGAGGCGGAGGAGGAGGAGGAGGAGGAGGAGGGTGGCGGCGAGGAGTGAGGAGGAGGAGGAGGAGGAGGAGGAGGGGGAGGAGGAGGCGGACGATGGCAGAGGGGTCGGATGGTGCGGAGTAGGAGGAGGAGCGAGGAGGAAGAGGAGAGGTAGGAGGAGGAGGAGGAAGAGCGAGGGAGGAGGAGGAGGAGGAGGGGGAGGAGGTGGCGGAGGAGGAGCGCGGAGGAGGAGGAGAGGAGGAGGGCGAGGCGGATGAGGATGAGGAGGAGGAGGACGAGGAAGAGGAGGAGGGGGAGGAGAGGAGGAGGAGGAGGAGGAGGAGGAGGAGGAGGAGGAGAGGAGGAGGAGGAAGGAGGCGGAGGGGGCGGAGGAGGCAGGAGGGGGAGGAGGAGGAGCGGAGGAGGAGGAGGAGGAGGAGGAGGAGGAGGAGGAGGAGGAGAGGGAGGAGCGGAGGGTGGCGGAGGAGGAGGAGGAGGAGGGAGGAAGGAGGAGGAGGAGGAGGCGGGACGAGGCGGACCGAGGGCGGAAGGGCGGAGGAGGAGGAGGAGGAGGAGGAGGTGGAGGGATGATGATGATGATGATGATGATGATGATGAATGAGATGATGATGATGATGATGCATGATGATGATGATGATGATGATGATGATGATGATGATGATGATGATGATGATGATGATGATGATGCGATGATGATGCTGATGCTGATGCTGATGCGATGCTGATGCTGATGCTGATGCTGATGCTGATGCTGACGCTGATGCTGATGCTGATGCTGATGATGATGATGATGAGGAGGAGGAGGAGGAGGAGGAGGAGGAGGAGGAGGAGGAGGAAGAGGAGGAGGAGGAGGAGGAGGAGGAGGAGGGGGCATAGCGCCTCGAGAGGACGCGAACTTTGGTCGGAGGGCAGCGGTGGATGGGGGGGAACGGGGGAGTCGCATGCAACTCCTGGGAGGTCAAAGTCTGGCTTTGCCCTGGTCCGAAATCTGGGTGGCTCTGGCTGAATGCCGATGCATCTGCGGCCTACTCTGGCGCAGTAGCCCCGCAACGGGGCTTCAGTCTCTTGCACAGCTGTGTCCTTGAGCTCGGATCTCTTTATTTTCGTCGTCGTCATTCGTTCGTTCGTCGTTCGTCCTCCCCCCTGGCCGTCCTGGCCTTACCCTGGACCCAGCCCTCTGTCCTGCTTCTGCACTGGAGTTAGCCCCCCTCGCCCCCTGCCTTTGCCCTGGACCCAGCCTCCCCCGCCCTCCCCCCCCCCTCCCTCGCCTCCCTGGCCCCCCACCCCCTGGACCAGGCCCTCCGCCCTGCCTTTGCACTGGAGTCAGCCCCCCTGGACCCAGCCTCCCTCGCCCTCCTCCCCCCTCGCGTCCCTGGCCCCCCCTGGACTCCCTGGCTCCCTGGCCTGGCCCTGGACCCAGACCTCCCCCCTTGCCCTTGCCCTGGACCCAGCTCCACAGCTGTATTCTAGAGCTCAGACCTCATGGTTCTCTTGCACAGCTGTGTTCTAGAGCTCGGACCTCTTCATTGTCGGTCGTCGTCGTTCGTTCGTTCGTTCGTTCGTCGTTCGCCTCCTCCCCGTCGACCACGGAAGGAAACTCCTGGAGGAAGGAGGCGCAAGCCTACTGTCCCTCGCAGCTCCTTGGTGCAAGAGCCAGGGCACGCGTGCCACTTGTTCTCTCGAATCCATCCGACGAAGACCTCCTAGTAGTTACCTCCTAAGTGGGAGAGTCAGAGCCCCGAATCAACTTGGGTAACTGGGGTCAGACCCAACTCGGGTTCGTTTCTCGGGAATCCGAACCCGAGTTGCGCCGGGCCCGAGTTACACTGGATAATTCGGGCGTCCAGAGCCCCGAATCATCAGGGGTCATTCGGGTCTGGGCTCACTCGGGTTCGCTTCTCGGGAATTCGGACCCGAGTGACGCCGGGCCCGAGTTGCCCCAGATCACTCGGGCGCCCAAGGGAGGGAGAGAGAGGCGGAGGGCTGCACCCCAGCCTTGATGTCGGGGGTGGACAGAACCCCCAACACTGACACGTCGATTAGTGAATTGTCCGTTTTCGGTTCTCGAGAGGGCGCCGTGGCCGTTATTTTCCAGGCTTGCGCCCGCCAGGTTTGGGCCTCAGGTTGTTTTCACTAAACCACGTTTTACTAAAGGGGGGTCTGTCCATCCCCGAAAAGGGAGGGGTGACACAAGAGGGGGGGGGGAGTTCGGTCCGTTGGCCCATCGAACCGCAGGAGGACTATGCGCAACGAGGTCTCTGGCCGCCGCCGGAGCCCGAGAGGCGTCGACAATCGGGGCGCGCGGGGGGCACCGTTTTTCGGGAATTCGATGCACCAGCGGATCGATTTCACCCCCCCCATCAGGGTCCCCCCTCTTTTTGGTGGACCCCGAACTCGGGCCCCGTGCCGGCTCTCCTCGCAGAGTGGCTGCCGCCTCGGACGAGCGGGCGCGGAGGGCAGTCCCGGCCCGGGGCGGAGGCCAGCCGCGGGCGCCCCGGCGCGCGGCCGCCGCAGCGGCGATTCGGGGTCCGGGGAGGAGGAGGAGGAGGAGGAGGAGGAGGAGGAGGAGGAGGAGGAG